TTGAGTGGCAGATAATGAAGACTGTGCCCACGGTGCCACAGACGGCAGTTACGATTACTGAGTATGTTGTTTATGTAGCGCATGACTACAAACAATTCTTCATCATCCCCATTTTTCTGTATTGTAGGCGGTCCCGCCCTCAAACGCCGCCGACAAAACACATCAAGTTTACGTGTCTGCCTTTGATTTGACGTTTACTCACTCACGGCTTCATCACCCTAGCGGACAGTCACGCGCACATGCCGTTAGTCAAACGAGCCGCATGGCAATGTTGTAAATAATTCACTTGTCCTAGGCTTGTCGTTCCTCTTCCTCGTCTTCTCTTTCTCTTGCTTCTTCAAACCAGAACTTAGGTCACCACGGAAATCAGACCACGATAATTCTGTAATACGTGAGCGGTGGTAATGGCACTTTATATTTATGTTTAACGTAACACTTTATTAATTTATTTAGATTTATTTGTTTGATTTAATTTGTTAGTTATATTTTTAATTTAAACTTTATGTTTAAGTATCCCTCGCTGTTTCTATACTTTAAGTTTTCTTTTTACAATAAGTGCATACTATTTGATATTATTGTCTCCTTTGGAATAAGTAGTTTTGCACATTCATCTGCGATCAGACACGAGTTCAAAGCCACTAGGCAAAAAATACTTAGTTATTCCCAATAATATTTCCGTCCGTCTCATAATCTAGACAGCGAGCCAGCTGAGACGGCGTTACTAGGCCTGGTAAACTCCCAACTAAAAAGCCATATAATGTGTTTGATCGAAAAATCAGTGGTACTATAAACAACCATCAGACACCCACGACCTTATTGGTTATTTGGTCCTACAGTAAGAACTGTTTGGGCGTAATAACCACTACAGCCCCCAACATATAATGACCGCATTGAAAGAAAGTTGTTTGGTATTTCAATGACCGGCGGGTCTTACCTTCAAACATATCCTGCACTTAGCTATTTGCAACCACCTTTACTGTTCAGTGCATTTCAACTCCTGAAAAATTCGCGAATTATACTACTTGGAGTTAAAAATACGTCCCACCTTGTGCTCTCACACTAACGCACGCAAGTGAGGTTTGCGTTATAGTGATGGCTATGGAGTACGACGGTTAGTAGTGTGTCTACCTTACCTTACTATCTCCTTTCCCGCCGGGCAAGCAACGGCTTTATAAGCCACGCCAGCCTGCGAAGTTTTCAAGTAATTAAAATCGTAAAACAGAAAACCGCTCGGTCTTGTTTGCAACTGGTTTATTGTTGATGCCAAAACATGCACAAAGTTAGAGGCGGAGGCTTGCTGCCCCTTTAATAAATGCAAGGGATTTCACCGGGCTCTTGGTTGACCAGATCCAAGATTTGAAGTTATTTCCCATATCTGCTGATCCTTCTGGCACCGTAAAAGACTCTACCATGTTAAATGGTTCATGATAGTTGCCTTCAAATTTCAAATAAATATAATAGAGCTACATTTAAATAAAAATCAGACAAATAAGTATCCAGGTCTGTAGTTTTGATAATATTGATAAGAAAGTGAATTCTTCTGGATATACTGACGATGTACATGACAAAACTATTTAATTTCAAACCACATTAATAGTAATTGTTGCCAAATGCAGATATTTATGTATTTCTGCCTCATAAAATATGACTATATGTATATGTATTTGCATTAGAATGAATGTATTCAGTCGGGGAAAAGTGCAGATCAAACCTGTAGGCAGCCTTACCGAGAGCAAACACCGAGTCGCCGGAGGTAAGAAGGTAAAAACAGCTGGAGGACCGCTTCATCTCAGCGACCTCTGTCCACTGTCCGAAAGGGCAGTTGATGTCTGGCGGTGAAAAAATCTCAACAACGTTGATAGCATTCCCTGCGGAGATTTCTCCACCAGCGACCAGGATTTTGCCTCTAAATGGTATTGCCGCGAGATCGCATCGCGCATGTCTCATGCGGGCTACTGGCACCCAAAATTCCGCAGTGGTTGCGGTTATCGCATTATCCTGCCAATCTGCTCGCAGCTGGCAGAACACGACGGAGTCATAGTACGAGGAATCATCATCATCACCACCGAAAACGAAAACACGGCTATCACCGGGCAGACAGGCAGCAGCTGGGCCGTTCCTCTTCTGAGGCGGATTAGGCAATTTATGCCATCTGTTGGGGAGAAGGAGGCAGCAGATGCGCGTGAGAAGATCAGTAAATTTAATAAATAAAAATAACAAAAATGCGTCAAGCATGTCCTGACCTGTTCTGGCTGACTTCGTACAACTCGCAGGAGGCCAGGCATGTCGGGGTGTCCCCTTCCCTATAGGATCCACCAAACACACCAATCAACGCCTTCTCGGTGCCCTCCTGGCAGCCATCGGCGGCTGCAACCCATACGACAGCAGCAGCATGCTGTTGGCGTCGGCAGGTGAGCGGTGCTCTTGGACGCCAGCGCCGTTCGCGCACCACGAACTCCTCCACAGATGTTATACCAAGCTGGAGATCAGACCTTGCTCCTCTAACTGCGAAAATGCTTCCTATCGTACAGTAAAAAGAATACTAAGGGAGTATGAGGTGCGGGAACAAGGCCTTTTTAGAAAATATTATGCCACTACACTGCGCTGTCCATCTACTAATTGCAGAAATTCTTCCCATCGTAAAAGGCTTTTAGGAAATATGAAAAAGGCTAAATAAAACTGTCATCGGCATCGATATTTGGCTGAAGTTTATTTGACACGTGAATC